GGAGGAAAGGGAGGAGGAGGAGGAGGAGGAGGAGGAAGAAGAGGTGGGAGGAGGAAAAGGGGGGAGCCCGAGGCGGCCCCGGGGAGGAGGGGGAGGAGCACGAGGAGCGGGCCCCCCCTGCGGGAGAGGAGCGGGGGCGGGCGAGGAGGACGACGACCAGCAGCAGCCAGGAGCCCCCCCCCTTCTCCGTGGGCCCCCAGGAGTACACCGAGGACGCCCGCGGCGCCCGCGCGCGCGCGCGGAGCGGGAGCGCCCGTCGTCGCCGCCGCCGCCGCCGCCGCCGCCGCCAGGGATGCCCGGGCAGACGCGCTCGACGGGCCCCCCCCCGCTGGCTGGGGGGGGCCCGGGCCCCGCAGAGGCCGGGCATCGCAGCGGCTCGCCGCGGCGAGCAGGCCCTGCTCGTCGCGGCGCCCCGGGGCCAGGGGCGCCGTGCTCGGCCGAGAGCTCCGCCAGCGGCGCGCTCCTTGCGTCGTCGCAGTCGTCGCCGCCGCCGCCGTCGTCGCCGTCGTCGCCGTCGTCCTAGTCGCTGCCGCCGCCGCCGCCGCCGCCGCCGCCGCCGCCGTCGTCGTCGTCGTCGTCGTCGTCGTCGTCGTCGTCGTCGTCGTCGTCGTCGTCGTCGTCGTCGTCGTCGACCTCGGCGCCTGGGCTTGGCCCTTTCGGAGGTGGGGCTCTGCAACTTCGCAGTGCCTGCTCGCAGGGGGCGCGCCGGAATACACCTGGGCGGCCCTCGCTGCTCTGGATGCCCCCCTCCCACAGCGTCCTCCACCACGTTGCCGCCTCCTCCTCTTTTTCCTCCGCCTCCATTTCCTCCACGCTTGTCCTTCGCTGCCGCCGCTCATGGCTGCCGCTGTGTCCCTCTCGTCTCCTCTGCTGCTTCTGGCTGGGTGTGTTGCGTTCGCGAGGCAGCGCATGAGCCCCCTACGGTGTCCCAATTTGGGGCCGTGTGCCATCTCGCTGCTTAGGCTCAGCTTTTTTTGGCACGTGCTCATAGCCGCCCGCCCCTCGATCTTTAAGCTCTGATGTATGATGCGCTACTTGACGGATCATATGACGTTCACCACCACCACCATATCTTCCCCGAGAACAGCTTGCCGCGGACCTTGGCCCGGCTGGCCAAACCACACATGCAACCTTTTCTGGCACCGCTCTGCTGGGCGAGTGGCCCATCCAGCCAGGGCCCTGGCCTTGGAACGCGTAGCGGCCCAGCGCGTCAAGCAGCCGCCGCCGGCGCGCCCCCGACCAACTATTCTGAGCGGCCCCGCGCGCCGGCGCGGTTAGTGTCCTCGTGCACCAAGCAGTTGTGCGGGCGCTCCTCCATTTCCTCCCGTTCCTGTTAGTGCGACCGCTGGGATTGGCACTGAGTCCTTCCCTCCTCGCTGCGAGTCGTGTTCCCGGCACGTCTTCTCGATCGCACGGGTAGGATCGCTTTCGTGAGGGCCAGCGGATTTCTAGTTCTGGGAAAAAGCAGTCCTCCACCTCCTCCTCCTCTTCCTCCTTCTCCTCCTGCTCCATCCTTTTCCTCCTCCTCCACCCTTTTCCCTGATCAGCAACTCCCCCCTGTCGCACCCCGAGGCCTGTCGGCAGGGTGGGCCGAGCGTCTCGCGTGACACGTCCTCACCATCTGGGGTTCTGAAGCTGAACATTCGCATAAGCTTCACAGATGAAGGGCGGGTCGTATTCAAGTGTGGTTGTCGCTTTCGCGCCGCGCACATTCGTTTTGAACGGTTGCAGGAGCTTCGCGGATCGAGCGCGGGCCATTTTCAATTGGTGGTTCTCACTTTAGCGCCGCGCACGCTCGTGGCAATCCTGTGTAACAGTTTCACGGACGGAGGTCGGGCCGTCTTCAAAATGTGGTTGTCTCCTTAACGACCGCGCACATTGATGATAAACATTTGCAAGAGTTTCACGGATGCAAGGTGGCTCCTTTTCAAAACGGGGTTGTCGCCTCTGAGACCGCGCGCGTTCGTTCCCGTAGCCATGCAGGAGGTTCACGGATGGAGGGCGGCTTCATTTCAAAATGTGGGTGTCTCCTTAGTGCCATGCGCATTCGTTTCAACAGTTACAACCGTCTGAGGAATTCCCATAGTTAAAGTCCCAGAAACTGCGTTTCAGCACGATGTCGGATTGCCAAGGCGAAGCAGTTACGTGGATTCGCGGCGTTGACGTGCCAGGAATGATTCTCTGGCCCGATTCAGGATTGTCCAGACAAAACAGTAACGGTGATTCGCTGCGTTGAAGTCCCAGGACTGATGTTCCGGCGCAGTGCAGGATTTTCAGGCGACCTGTACCTCTGGTGGCTACGCACAACAGCATCTCGGACAGATGCCGCCCGCCACTTGTGACAAGAGTTCAGGCTGTGGATATTCTTTTTTCAGGACCTATTGTTAGCCCCTTGCGCCAGCCCGAAGCTGCAAACACGAGTGGAGGCTTGCGCTCATTGTTGACGCTCAACGACAACTTAGGCGGTTGCTGGAGGGTCCGAAGTTGATCTTTATACTTACGGGCCGACTCGTAATCGGAATTGGCCTCCAAGAACGCGATGACATGTTCGAGCTCGGCCTCCTTGACGAAACTCCCCAGAGTACCAGGAGACACATGAGCACGATGAGAAGAGCCCCAACCACCAGGCGGAGCGGACCGACTTGCGCCCCACTCCACCAGGACCTCTTTGCTGTTCTCATCTTTGTCTTTGGGTTCACCCACACCTGACCACCGTCGCTGCCTCGATACGCCCGTTTTGATACGCAACACGTCCCGTGTTCAAGACGTCCGTGTCAATACGTTGCGTGTTGGCCCCACGTATTGGACCACGTTTTGGCGAGTGTATCGCGTCGGACCCACGTTTTCAGCCTACGTGTTGAGCTCCGCATCACTAGGGTACGTGTTGCGTGTTGCGTGTCGGGGCAGCTAAGCCTTGCGGCCGCAGTGCTTGCACCACGACCACCACGACTTGCTGGCCTTGCAGCCGCACCCTGCTCAACGCCGGTTGCCTGCGCGCCAGCCGCCACGCGCCATCGCGCGCACCCACGACCGACGAACGGTGGGCCACGACCCCCAGGCACCGCAGGCACACCTCGGCCACGCGCGAGCCGAGGTTGGGCAGCTCAAGCGAAGGCCCCTTGAGCCAAAATGGCTACGGATCCTCCTCGTCCTCCTCCTCCTCCTCCTCCTCCTCTTCCTTCTCTGTCTCTCCTCATTCTCCTCCTTCCCCTCCTCCTCCTCCTCTTTCTCTCCTCCTCCTCCTCTTCCTCCTCCTCCTCCTCCTCCTCCTCCTCCTCCTCCTCGCGCCCCCCTCATGGCCGCCCCCGAAGAGCGAGGGGGGGGGGGGCGCAGCCTCCGGCGGCAGCAGCGGCCGGGCGCTCGCCGCCGGGGCCCGCGGCGGCGGCGCCAGGCCCGGGGCGCGCAGAGATCACGCAGTGGCGAAGCGTCCTGGCTCGCCTATAGCCCTACCAAACAATGTTCTAAGAGCCTGTTCTTGGCATCGCTCGGACGTGTGCACTTTTCCTTCGGCGAGGACCATCGAGGAGCATCCTTGATCCTTTGGCAAAACAACCACGCACGAAACCGGAAAAAGCACAGGGAATGGACGTCCGAGCGATGGCCAGTTTTGTGGTTCTGACGAAATGTTCTTGAAACATTTCTGGCGGAGCTTGTCTTGTTTTATCACATCGGGCTCATGTTCTAATAACCGTGTTTTTGTTTTTAGAACATTTTTTGAGTTCTAAGAACATTTTTGGGGTTCTAAGAACATTTCGTGGTAGGACTATAGGAATGCCGGGGCGGTCGGTCCCTGTTCAAAGAGAGTCCGCACGCTCCGAAGGGAGCGGCGCCAGCGGCGGATAATTGAATAGGTCCTTGGTCACGTGTAGCGGTAGCGTTGTTTCCATTATTGCTGGTGTTACGGTTATCCTTAGTATCGGCGAGCGCGTTCCACTACTCGCAAGGTGACTACTCGCAAATGGCCTGGATCCGCCGGGGGGACATGTGCTTTTCGGACGTTTGCGAGTAGGCACTTTGCGAGTAGTGGAACGCCCTCGGGGATAGTAGTAACATGGTTGCTAATCATCAGATTGTTAGTCGGATGCAGATTCTCATTGTCACCATGACTGTTATTGTTTTAAGTATTAGTGCTGTTCTCAGTAGCATTATGGTTGAGCTGAGTAGTTGGTAATGGAGGATGACGATTGACAAATGACCAGGGGTCGGGTTCACGCGGCGGCGCCAGGGATGACGATTAGAAAAAACTGGCCGCGGGCTGGAAAACTATTTTTTAATCGTTCCCCTCCAGTCAGAAAATTATGCAGAAATAGCAGAAGACTATTTCTTATCCGTTCTCTACCATTTTTTCATGACTCGTCATCCCGCATTACACTACAACATGGATCTGATGATTTATGGAGTGGCTGTGCACCAAATGCTCGTACAGCGAAACATGGCAAGGGAAAGCGGTGGCACCTCATGCATTCCATTGGGGCTCGTCTGCCTTCGCCCGCCCTGCTCGGCCTCGGCGCCTGCCGGACCCTTCGGGGGGGGGGGCAGGCGGGCGGGCGCGGGCGAGGGCGCCCGCCTCTCCCGGCACGCCTCGATCCTGCGGCGCTGGGCCGCCACGGGGCGCCGCCTCGCATCGGGTATATAGCCCAGGACCCCAGGCAAGGGGAGACCCGGTTCGTGGTAGGGCCCTGGAGAGCCCCTCGAGTGGCCAGAATGAGGGGGCCACACGCGAACCCTACCCCTAACCCCCCACGGTTTCTGAGGGGGAGGGTGGGGTTCACTTCGTCTGGGAGCTCCCGAGCGAAGTGAACCCCACCCTCCTCCTCAGAAATCGTGGGGGGTAGGGGTAGGGTTTGCGTGTGGCCCCCAAGAATCACTAAACCAGGTCTGCCCTAACGTGTGTGCTTCTTCGGGTGGCGGCAGTTCCGGTTGGCGGAACGGGGCGGGGGGGCGTCCCCCAGTACACCTCACGAAGTCAGGTCCCGCTGAGCCCAGTTCCGCCAGCGCCTCGGATCGAACTCCGCACGGCCTCCTCCCGGCTCGAGCCATGTGGGGCTGAGGGCCTGCCTCGACAGGTGGGGGTGCCGTGAGTCGCGCGCGCGCGCGCCGCGGGGCCAGGCATGGAGGGCCCGGTGGACGGCGCCCAGCTGATGGCCGTGTACGGCATCGACGAGAAGGCCCTCATGGCGCTCCAGAAGCTGGCGCCCGAGAGGCAGAGCGAGTGCCTGCAGAAGCTGCAGGAGGGCATCAACTCCGGGAAGGTGCGCAACGCGTCGGCCTTCCTCATCGGCATCGTCACCGGGCCCGACGCCCTGGGCATCGACGACAGGGCACGGGCGATGCTGAACGAGCTGCCGAAGCCCATGCAGGTCGAGCTGCTGAACAAACTGAGGATGGCGGTAGACGTCCAGAATCCATCTGCTTGGCTGATTTCTGCCGTGATCAAGGCCAAGAAGACGGTGGGCCTGGCGGGCATGGGCGGTATGATGGGCATGATGGCGGGCGGCCAGATGCTGGGGATGGGTGGCAATGGCATGCTGGGTGCCCAGATGATGTTCGGCAAGATGGGTGGCCCGAGGATGGGCGGTATGATGGCCAGGGCAAGTCCTTATGGCTCTCCACCCCAGACCACTGGCTCCGTGCCATCGAATCCAGAAGCTTTGCAGCAAGTCATGGTCATCATCGACGAAAAGGCAAGAACATTGCTGCAGCAACTCCCAGAGGAGAAGCAAGTCGAATTAGCCAGCTTCCTACAGGCCAGAATCCAGGGTGGAACGGTCATGAACCCCTCGGGATGGATGGTGAAGAGCTGCCTCGCGGCGGGCGCCAAGTCGGAGAGCATTCCTGGCGGCAACCCGAGAGCGATGGGTGGCGGCTCGATGGGGATGGGCTGTAATCCGATGGGGATGGGTGGCGGCATGATGGGGATGACTGGCACGGGCAGCATGGGCAGCATGGGCGGCTGCTCTCCAGCCCAGAGCGTTCGTTCCGCAACGGCCTCTCCCACCGTGCCCCAGATGCCGCAGGCGGTCCCAATGGTCATGATGATCCTCGACGACAAGGCGAAGACGCTGCTGCAGCAGCTCCCGTATGAGAAGCAGGTCGACCTCGCGAGCTTCCTGCAGCAGAAGATGCAGGTCGGCGGCATCAAGAACCCCTCAGCGTGGATGGCAAAAAGTTGCCTTGCAGCAGGCGCCAGGACAGAGTCCGATGCTGCAGGCTTTGGCGCAGGCTCTCTCATTGGCCATTGATTGCCCAGGTCAGTCGAAGGGTGAGTTTGCTGTCAGTTTTGAGCATCTGCGCGTCTGCTAACAAATTTCGTGTAACACATATTTGCCAAAGGCCGTTGCGTTCTCTTGTCGCACTGAGGGCTTATCTGCTGAATTCGAGGATGGTTCGTATTTCCCGCCTGGCAGCACCCATCGTCAACTTATATTATCGTTGCGGAGAAGCGCCGTCACTTGAAACAAATACGGCAGTGCGAGGAGCTGTGTGGTTGCGGAGGATGGCATCGGGAGGAGGAGAATTAGCAGGACGATCAGGGTGATGAAGGGTCATGGCATGATTGTCACTTGGCAGTTCAGCGCTGTAGTAATACGTGTTGCCACACTGCCTCTTGCTGCGCAGCCGGTCCCTCCAGTAAGGCTGATGTGAGGCTTCCAAGGGTACTTTGCACGAGTGCTTCGTCTGCCCATCGTGGACCAGTTCCGCTTGCTGGTTGCAACTTGGACGCCTTGGGTCCGTGTCCGCTTACCCTGCATCCTCATGATTGGGCTTATGATGCTCCAACCTACTTTAGCGTTGATCGCTAGAAAGAACTTCGAGCACCAGAACAGTACCAAAACTCGAGGGTTTTCACGTGTAGGGCCCTGGGAGACACTCGTCCGACACTGTCTCGACATTGTTTCGACATTCTTCCGACACTTTTCCGGGTGCTCGAAATTATTTCTGGGATGTGGTCCTTAAGTATGATGGGAGCAAAATAAGACTGGGCCCAGCTGCACTGCGAGCACCGCTCCTATGCTTACCTGGCCGTGAGCCTTGGCGCGCGGGCTCTACAGAAGCCTTTTAGGGCGGACTGGGTGGGCGCAGAGCTGCGATGGCCGCCAGGGCTCTCGATTCTCGGAAGTGCCACTCCGAACGACTGGAGGAGGAGGAGGAGGAGGAGGAGGAAGAAGAGGAGGAGGAGGAGGACAAGCTAGGTGCGCTCGCGTCATATCTGACATCCTACCCCTCCCTCCCATCCCTTACCATGGCGTAGATCCCCTCTCTACTCGCACAGTCGGATGTAGAGCAGGGCAATGATCCCGAAAGGGCACGCGATGCATTTGAGCACGGCATGGGATGGCGTAGAAGAGCACCGCAAAGCGTAGTAGGTCACAGCTAGGCGTGGCGTAGCGTAGTGAAGAATTGCATCACAAAGCTTTGCAACGCAAAGCATGGCATCGCACAGCGGCCCCGAACATAGCATGACATAGCACGACGTGGCACTTTAGCACTGCATATCACAGCTTCAGCTGAAGGCATGGCATCGCGCAGCGGAACGCAACCTAGCATTGCATTGCATGCCGTGGCATGGCGCGGGAAATGACGCCAGCGCTGCAGCGGGAGCACGATTCGGAACGAGCGGAAGCGCGGAAATGAGGCCAGCGCTGCAGCGGGAGCACGATTCGGAACGAGCGGAAGCACGGAAATGAGGCCAGCGCTGCAGCGGGAGCACGATTCGGAACGAGCGGAAGCACGGAAATGAGGCCAGCGCTGCAGCGGGAGCACGATTCGGAACGAGCGGGGCCCGAAAATGAGGCCGGCGCCTCAGCGAGAGCAGCATTTTGAAAAAAATGCAGGCGAAAACCCAACTCCGGGGAATCCTGTGTGTAAAAAAACAGTACGCGGGGGGGGGGGGGCGAACACTTCCAACCCGTCATCAGGGGAAGGAGGAGAGTAGTATTCATATTGAGTAATTGTGGAGGAGGAGGAGGAGGAGGAGGAGGAGGAGGAGGAGGAGGAGGATCTGCCCCAGGGGCGGCCCTTGCAGCGACCTGGCCCGTGTGCGGCGACGCCCCCCCGGCTCCGGCGGGGGCTCGGGCTCGGGCTCGGAGCCCGGGCCCGGGGCTTCGCGCGGCGCAGGCGGGGGCCTCCCTCGGGGGCCCTGTGCGCACGCGCGCGCTCCGTGCGCTCTCCGGTGGAGGGCCCATCGCCTCGTCGGCGCGCCGCGCCCCTCGGCGACGGCCGGCGGCAGGCCGAGGCGGAGCGCGGCGGGGGCAGGGCGAGGGCGGCTGCGCGGGCGGAAGCCAGCGGGAGCTCCGCATCGCTAATGAAGCTCAGCACACGCACCCATGGCCGCGCGCGCAGGCCGTTTGCCGCCCCCCCCCCTCCCCCCCCCCCTTGCGGCGCTTCGTGGCTGCGCAGGGGGCGGCTCAGCCGCACCTGGCGGCGCGCGGGGAAGCGACGTCTGCAGGGGGGGCGGGGGGGGGGGCGAGCGATGCCGCACCCCCGAAGCACCAGGGGGGGGCGGCGCGTCGTCTCCTCCTCCGCCCCGCCGCCTCCTGAGCGCGCGGCGTCCCTTGGAGTCCCAAGGGCACGCTCGAACTGTCCGGTGGTCATCGTGCTGGGCTGCGCTGTCCGAGCGCCCCCTCTTCGGGGACCTCCGCCGTGGGCCTCTGGGGGCCTTCGCACCCCCCCGTGTCACGAGCCAAGCCTCACCCTCGGGAGTGCCAACCATGCAGCGGAAACCCATGCCAAGAAATTCCTTGCTCGCTTCCAGGGTGCCCTGGGTTTCTTGGACCTCGATGGTTTTGCGGTGGAAAGCATGACTTTCCCACACCTGTCTTCAATGGACGTCCTGGAATCTCAGGGTTGGGTTTCTTGTAGAATATTTCTTGTGGTCGAGCTCCTACTGTAGAGGGGGATAGGCATAGGGGGGGATGTATCGACACCCAATCGCCCATTGATCGCCGATACGGGGTCAATGTAGCCCCACCCCCCGCCTAGGAAGGTGCGGATTCACTGTCGGGGGCCTATCGCGGATCCATCGGTGATATACCGCCGTCTCCAGGTCGACGCTTCCCCCCCTGTGCCAGTCCCCTCATGACGTTGCCCCTCACTCCTTCGGATGTCACTCCTGGGAGGTAAAATTCTGACTTTGCCCTGGTCCGAAATCCGGCTCCATCGGGCTTAATCCCGATTCGTCCGCGACATCCCGTTGAAGTTGGTTTACTCCCGCTTGCTCCGCGGCCTCACCCGGCGCAACAGCCCCCCCCCCATAATGGGGTTCAATCCTCCGTCATCCTTCCGACGAAGACTTCCCAGTAGGTTGCCTCTTAGCCTACCCAGACCCCCGACGTCATCAGTTTTTCATGACGTCGATCCTCAGGGGTCTCGACCCATTCCCTGGGACCGGTTTTTCATCCTGCGTCGTTTGTTGACGGCCCCGCGGCCCGGGAAGGGCCCCCAGAGGCCGAAAACAGCGAAACTTTTTCCGTCGTGATTCTTTCATGACTCGAGGGGTCTGGGTATGCCAGTCCCCCCCCACATCGTTGCCCCGCACCCCCGGAACGGTGCGCGGTGTGCTCAGGAGGCCCCGCCCTGCGCTTCGCCCGAGGCCGCTGGCCGCGCACATCGCGAGGCCCGGCCGTGCGTCAAGGGCGTAAGAAACGCCCCTACCTTGGTTTACGAGGCGCTGTGCGCTAAACTTCCTGTGGACTGACAGGATAAACCCTGCACATCGCGCGTGTCACGCGGCGTCCTGGTGGCTCTCTGGCCTTTGGTCAAGGGGGGAAAACCCACCAAGACCTTACAGTTGGCGTTTGCTAAGCGGCTCTGGGCATTTACCAAACAGCCCTGCCCTGCTTGATTCCTCCTTTCGGTGCATTTACGACACGGCTTCTCGTGCAGGGGTGATTCTTCTGGGGGGGATTCTCTGCCCTCCTCATTTGGGAGCTCCCAGGAGGTCTACAGACCACGCACTTGTAACTCAGGGTACAGGCGGCCCGGAGTAGTAGGTCGACCCTGCCAGATCAAGGGTACCCTCGTGTCCTGTGTCTTGCGACCCATGCCTCCTGCATTCCTGTGGCAATGTGGCCCTCGGAAGGGTCTTGTGTCCTCTCGCGTGTCCTGTCCAATCAAGGCCGACTGTATAAGGGGCGTTTTGCACCCCTCCGGCGTGGGCCGGGCCAGGGGGCCGGGCCTCTCGCGAGCGGTGCCCCCGCTCGTGGAGGTTCCGCCGCGCCGCCGCTGCGCCTGGTAGGCAAGCGGAGGGGCCCCCTCACTGCAGGCCTGGCCCGGCGTGAAGTCGGGCGGGTCCCCACCAGAGGTCCGCCGAGTATGCAGTCAACCCGCATAGCAAGGATGGGCAACCTTCCCAAGGGTCCCCTCGCATCCTTGCCTCACCACCCACCAAACCACCCCAACTCAACCCGAAGGCCTCAATTTGCCCTCCATTTCCAGTGTGGGGGGGTCCAGTAACATCGAAATGACCCTGGTGACGTACCCAACCCCTGCGCAATGCGGGGCATGAGTAGCTTGGGAGACGTTATACGGAGGTGATGACGTGACATGGGCCCATATTTTTCTGCGAGCGGCATTCGTGGGGCTCGCAGCCCCCCAAGGATTGCGATGCCTCGCTCAGATCTGCCTGGTGCCTCGCTCCGCTGAACCCGCCACCAGCCTTCGAAAGTTGCGACGGTTTCGCAGATCGCAGCCCCCCAAGAACGGGTAGGCCCCGCTCAGATCTGCGCGGTGCCTCACTCCGCTGGACCCACCAGTAGCCCTCGAAAGTGGGGACAGTTTCGCAGGTCGCAGCCCCCCAGGCACGGCGAGGTCCCGCTCAGATCTGCGCGGTGCTTCACTCCGCAGGACGCACCAGCAGCCCTCGAAAGTGGCGACAGCTTCGCAGATCGCAGCCCCTCAGGGACGGCAAGGTCCCGCTCAGATCTACGCGGGGCCTCTCTCCGCTAGACCCACCAGCAGCCCTCGAAAGTGGCGACAGTTTCGCAGATCGCAGCCCCCCAGGCACGGCGAGGTCCCGCTCAGATCTGCGCAGTGCCTCACTCCGCTGGACCCGCCAGCAGCCTTCGAAAGTGGCGACAGTTTCGCAGATCGCTATGTTGGCCCCCCAAGCAGCCCTCGAAAGTTGCGACGGTTTCGCAGATTGAAGCCCCCCAAGGACGGCGAGGTCCCGGTCAGATCTGCGCGGTGCCTCACTCCGCTGGACCCACCAGCAGCCCTCGAAAGTGGCGACGGTTTCGCAGATCGCAGCCCCCCAGGCACGGCGAGGTCCCGCTCAGGTCCGCGCGGTGCCTCACTCCGCAGGACGCACCAGCAGCCCTCGAAAGTGGGGACGGGTTCGCAGATCGCAGCCCCCGAGGCACGGCGAGGTCGCGCTCAGATCTGTGCGGTGCCTCACTCCGCTGGACCCACCAGCAGCCCTCGAAAGTGGCGACAGTTCCCCCCCAGGCGCGGCGAGGTCCCGCTCAGATCTGCGCGGTGCCTCACTCCGCAGGACCCACCAGCAGCCCTCGAAAGTGGCGACGGTTTCTCAGATCGCAGCCCCTCAGGGACGGCGAGGTCCCGCTCAGATTTGCGCGGTGCCTCACTCCGCCAGACCCCCCAGCAGCCCTCGAAAGTGACGACAGCTTCGCAGATCGCAGCCCCCCAGGCACGGCGAGGTCCAGCTCAGATCTGCGCGGTGCCTCACTCCGCTGGACCCACCAGCAGCCCTCGAAAGTGGCGACGGGTTCGCAGATCGCAGCCCCCCAGGC